ATTCTTATATTATGGATTAGAAGTTTTGTATTTTATTAAGAAAATTTTTGTAACTTGACATTGGGGACCTCTAGGCTGTTTTCCAGTATCATGACAAATTAATTTCTCATACTTATTAATTCTGATTAAATGATAACCAATGTATTCAAGATGCTAAGTCATTGGTGACCCAACTTCTCTATATTAATAGTAAATAAATTTAGGGGATTTTCCTCCAAAATGTATTTAAATAACATTTTTGAATAACAGTTTTGAAATCAACAAACACTATACTTACCATATGACTGATTATATTTAGTGAAACATTACTGCACATTTCTCAACATCCAAGCTTTTTTCTTTCTGGTATGTTTGGAAGATGAGAGAAAACTTATTCTTTGTCCCATTCTCTCTTTTTTATTTTTAAAATCACATCTCTTCCATAAGTATGAATTTTCCCATTAAGGCCCACCCAACTCAGTAGTTATAGAACAGAGTCCACACCTGATAAGATGATTATAAAACACTGAGGGCACACTTGTAACATAAGGTTATTTTGTTTTACCCTCTGTGTATTAAAACCATAAGACAATGCTTCACTAAAACAACTACAGGTAATTATAGGACAAATGGTTTAATTTCAGTGGTCTTAACTTCACGTTTTCAAAAATTAGACAATTGACTTGACTTTGCATACACATATAAATATGTGTGTGTATGTGTATATATATGTGTGCATGCCAATGAAGCAATTTTTTTTACGGCAAACTGGTATGGGAAAAATAGTAATAGGTTTTATTTAGTGATACAAGATTTCAGAACAGAAGTTACAAACTGGTAGCCTATGGGCTGAAATAGTCATAGAACCTGGTTTTATTTGTTCCACGTGGTGTTTTACTATTGTTGTTATTACTTAACCTTCAGAAGTTTAGATTTCACATGGAAATTCAGATTTTCAGCTTCTCTTGAAAAATAAGGAGGCATTGTAAGAAATTGTGTGCAGTTCAAACACTAGTGATGCTGTGATTTTAAACTGCAAATGGCAACAATTTAAAGGCTTCCATCCCTTCACTGTGGTGCTTCTCTTCCGTATCAAATGGTGAAAGCCTTAAGCACTAAAATGCTTACCCAGAATGCTCCCTGGCTTAATGGAGTATTAAATGCCATCTTATTCCACCTGTAATTTTCCCCCAATTTCTCTGTTATATCAATTTTCCCTTCATAAAGTTTTTCAAATTTGGTCCTATTTCCCTCCATTCCTTGTTATTATTTTTATCCAGGTCATTTTTTTCTCACTTCAAGGCCACTGAATGTGTCTCTGTCTTGGCTATCACACTACTCCTGTCCACCTTTCCTCTGCCTCCCCATGTCACTCTGCAAACTAGTTATAAATGTATATGCCCTAATCACACTTTAATATATTAGTATCTGCCCTCAGTCCTGTAGTGACAATCCAGAACCTATGTCCAACTACTTAGCCTATAGAGGGTTCTCGGTCTGAGTTTCCCTCTCACTCTGTGTTAATCCATACACAAATAGCTAGCCACTATGCCCATGTTCATAGCACCAAAGCAAGATCTTCCTGTCTCTGATGACTTTTCTGCCAGCATTTGTTCCTCCTCTTCACCTGTGCAAATAGATGGTCACCACTTTCAAAACTGGCCTTTCTAGACCACCTTGGTTCACAATTGCACAATGTAGCTCATCTTGCCTGGTACATACTTCAAGGTCATATTTTGTTTTTGTGATTGACTTAAAACATGGTCTCTCTAAGTATGGTCTCTGGATATCTTTCTTCTTACTTCAGAATTACCTGTATTGTTCTTAAGCATTTATTCCTGGGCTCCACCTATATCCTTTTGTGTTCCTTAAGTTGGGGCCTAGGAATATGATAGATCTGATAAGTCTAGAATTTAAAGGCAACATGAAAAATAGTTATACAGGATTGTCTGATGGTTTGATAGACCATAAAATAGGATTCAATTAAGTTTCCAATGAGTGCATTTCAGATCTGCAGGGTGTCTCTTGAACAATATTTACCCTAATTGTTGATAATAGCTCTGAGTGTGGCTTTAACCAGCTCTTTGACACCATTGCTGAGACCATAAAGCCCAGGATCCATTGGATGGAAAGTGGAAGGTAATAAAGGCCTCATCTTCCACGCAAAAACAAGCCAATAAAATAGTGAACTTCTTGAGTGCAGGACTGTATGGCTTTTATTTTGTAAATTTTTTTTCTGCTCCTCTTGTGCCTTATCTCCAGTAACACCACGGTTAATAAATATTGAATTACATTGGGTAAGTTGACTGAATGTTTGAAGAACATCAATACTCAGGCTGGCAATGATCGTGATAACTCATTGGTCATATGTTTACCATGGGGTCAGGTACTGTATTCAGTGCTTTATGTAGCTTACTCAGTGAGTGGCTTTGCTTCAGCCCTGATAGGTAAAGCATTGCTATGATTCCCTACATTTTAACAATAGGGACTCTTCAGCTAGAGTTGCAGAAGGAGACAAGACATATTGTGATAAGAATAGCAATTTCTTTTGTCATTCAAGAAAAATTTTTTGAACAAATTTAAACCATTGGTTTCATTTTAATGAGAAGAGTTGATAAATTTAAAATACTGATTAATAACCATTGAAGAAGTCACTGCGATAAATTTGTTTAAGGTAAAGAATAGAAGTTGGAACTGGAAGAGCTGGGTTCAAGACTCAACTTGCCTCTTAACAGTTCTGCAAATTTGAGGAAGATCCAAAGTCTATCTGAACCTCAATCTCTTAATCTGCAAAATGGGGACAATTGTTGCACATCAAGTTGTTGCAGGGACCAAATGAAGACATTGATATGAAATAATCTAAAAATTTAGAATGCTGTTACTATTAATAACTGTTTAAAATGTGAATAAGACTCTCCAAAAATGTAAACCATATTATTTTGAATCATGCTTTAAAGAGACAAAAAAAACCCCACAGAAATAATGAAATCTCATCTCCATAATCACACAAAGCAGGTGTTATCATCCCCAGCCAAGGGCTCTTGGGCTCGGGAAGGTTAAGTAACATACCATAGTCACAATACAGGTAGTAAACAATTGAGCTGAGATTTATAAACCACACCTACATAACTTCAAATGCTCTACTCTTTTCAATGCACCAGTTTGCCTTTAAAAAATAAAATAAACCAGCATATATACTTTTCCTAACATTAAAAAAAGACATGTAGAGATTTATGTTGAAAACTAGCTCATTCTGATAATTCTCCATCAAGATGTAGCCTTCTAGAATGCGGTTCAATTTCCTTTTATGAAACACTGTAAACGTAATTTGAGCGTAGCTTAAATGAAGTGTCCAAATGGGATAAAGCAAGTCACCTGGGAAATTAGATTTTATAGATTACAAGAATTTAATGCCTAAACTATACTTAATGGACACAATTTTTTGAAAAAGAAAATATCTCAGTAAACAATTGACTGGTCTATCAATTTCATCATTATTTCTATATAAGACACCTGTAGAATAGAGTAATTATAGATGAATAAATAATATAAGCCTCACTATAACTAGTAGTGAAGAACACATTTGTCATAATGGATTTGGGTTCACAAGAAATACAGAAGGAAATCTTTGACTCAAGTTCAATTTTTACTTCCACAGTGTTTTTTAAATTATTCTATTTAAAGAAGTTATAGAATTCTCTTGCCCTGTGGCTTTCTGAAAAAAAAAAATGATTCTGAGAATACTTTAGGCCTACACCAAATTTTATCCTGAAATAGAATCTCTAGTAGAGATGAGCTACAGCTATTAATTTTGATTACTGAAGCATGGGGTGGAGGGAATCATATTTTAATGAAAGTGAAGACAGGACAGGATTAGGGAGGAGAGTGGATGCGAGGGTATGTATGAAAGTGGAGGCAGTATTTAAACACTAGAAAAACTTCTGAGCACAGATCATGCCCTGACAAGTACTGTAAACATCTTTTCTTTGAAACATTTTGTAAGGTGGTAGTTAAATTCATGGGCCATGGAATCAAGCACTCTGGGATCAAATCCCAGTTCTGTCACACTTCCTAACCTTGTAATTTTAGGCCATTTACTTAAACCATTTGTGACTTTGCTTTCTCATCTGAAAATTAGAAATAATTACTGTTGCATAGGGTTGTTATGATGATTCAGCATAATCATCAATGCACATTGTCAATGTGGTTGATGCTATTATTATTACTGTTTTGGTGTTGTAGAACTTACCTGGCATATATATTAAAATTTCCCATAAACTTATAAAACAATTTTGAGAAATAGCAACTTCTTCAGAGCTGTTTCTTTACAGCTGAATAAATTTATGAAATAGTATAAAAGACACACCTATTTTAACAAAATACCAAATCTGTTTCAGAAACATTATGATGTTCATAAAATTAAAAGATTATAAAACCAAACCTTCTAGTAAGTAATAATGAGCTTATACATATTTTCAAAAGTGCACAAATTTGTACTCATCATAGGAGGACATATTGATTTGTGTATGTATTTCAAGCAACCATCTCACGCACACTCTCCCTGTGGCTGACAGCATCCTCCCCTGGGAAGGTGGCTTCTCTAATTGCAGTGAATGGCGATTCTATTTGTAGACATTACTTCCTACAGCATGCCTTCCTTTTTGTGATTATTATTAAAAAAAAAATACTTGTCCTCAAATAATTTAGTCTCCTTGGCTAAAGAGACAATTCTACAGCACAACAATAATCACATAGATAATGTGTATCTGAATTGAAAGTGTATATTCTCTCACCAGCAAACTAATCTGTATTTACTGCAACATAGGGAATGCAAAAAGCATTTTAATACTGTACATCCTCAAACTACCACTTAGGCCAAAACAAAGAAAAAAAAGAAAAAATCAGAAGTACTAATATAGTTTTAATTGATAGGGCATTTTTCCACCTCCCATGCTATCTCTTGCTTATAAACAAAATCACAATTTTCACATTGATAGAAAATCGACAATAAGAGGGCTTACCTTCTTTCAACCAAGAAATGTTATTTTTATCATTTTCAAAATGCTCAGCTGTTCTTACTTTTATCTTTTCCAGCTCAGTTTCTGACATCTAAGTGGAAACAAAATTTGTGATATAAAAAATTCATTAAGAACCCAAATTTATGACATTGAGCTTTATATTTAGAGACTACTGCCATATTATAGGAAAATGTTTTCTCTATAGTTTTGCAGCTCACCATCTAATGTTGGTTTACATTTTATCCATTTGTAGTATTTTAAAACATTAACACTGGAAACAAAACTTTATACAATATTTCATTTTCCAGCAGTAAAAATTGCTATAAGATTTTATAATTTATGAATATGAAAGAATAACAGATCAACAACTAGTCACAGATTTGTAAAAAACAAACATTCAGTTTCTGTTTTAATGTTTTTTTAATAGTCTATAGAAAAGCACGTTGCAAAGTGATATATAAAGATATAAATATTAATAAAACATTAAAAGGACGTTTTCAGCAGTTTATTGGGTTGAATGAGAAGCTTATGGTCTGAGACAGGCCTGGTTGAGCTCCCTGAAGTTGAGGAGATCTATGATGCACCTTGAATCACTGCACTTGACTTTCATTGTTTCTCTAATGAGCTAAGGTGCTGCGCTTGAACCAGCACCTCATTGTACTTACCTGTGTGTTCCAAAAGGAGAATGCACAGACGGGACGGGTGAGCAGTGTGCGATGCTCTGGGCAGCCTTCCTTGTAGCCTCTCGATGTCCAGCATTCCTCTCCCTGCCAGAAATAAGCAAAGAAGCAAACGCACTCCCTGCTGGGGTGGTGCTACATCTGTAATGCTGCCAAAAGCATCCAACTTGTGGCTGAGAGGTTTTGTTTTTTCTTTTTTTTTAAAGGTAATATAAAGCCTGTGGTTCAAAACAATGAAAACCTTCACCAGGCTAGCACTTATTTAAAATGACAATCTGAAAAATTGGGTAAAAATAATGAACCTTTTCAAATTGACAGAGTTCCTTCAGTCCTCTTCCACACCTGCCACTCATCATTTAGGGTTAGTATTAAAGGATGGTGAAAAATACATTGAAAATTGCACCTAGACCATTTGGGTTAAAAGAAAAAGAGGGAATATCTCTAAATCTATATTCTCTAGAAGTTCATCCTGCAGCTGACATTTTGAAAAACAAGTTTTTCTGATATTTTATAAGAAATGAAAAAACAGATCAAGTTATTTTAAAAGAAGCAAGCAAAATAAAACCAGAGACTTTGAAATAAAGAACAAACTGACAGTTACCACAGGGGAGGGGAGAGAGGGATGATAGAGGTAGAGGAAGGGTTGTCAAGGAACATGTGTAAAGGACACATGGACAAAACCAAGGGGATAGGATTGAGGGTGGGAGCCAGGGATGGGTGGGATGAGGGGAAAATGGAGACAACAGTACTTGAACAATAAAAAATATTTAAAAAGAGTCTGCAGATGTTCCAAAAAGGATTTAAAATAACATTTCAAAGAGAATTTGTCATTAGATTCTCAGTCAAAGCTAATATTGTTTTCAACAGAAGGGTAACAACAAAAAGCATAACCCATGGATGAATATGCATGGTGATAAATAGTCCAACATCTCTAAATGTTGTCATATTTTTCATCATGAAATATAATCATATGTTTTGGTCCAAAACGGTTTGCCTTCTCTGATGTCTTCAGCTGGACAACTGCCTGCTCTCTGGTTACCTTGCATCCATTTCACCTTGTTTTCCAACATCACTTCTTGTATTTTGCTCCCAGTTTCATTGTCTTTAAAAACTACCTTGATCAGACAATTTTCATACAAGATAATTTTCAATTTCCCCTATTATCAATGAGATAAATTTCAGATTCCATAGACAGCTAAGGAAGACCTTGAATGGTTAGATTCTACAACATGAGTTTTAAACTGTGGCCAAAAGTCTTAAGATTTCTCTTAGGTGCCTAACTTTTTACTCCATCCTAATTGTAATGCTGCTGTTCCTTGAACTTATCTGTATCTATTATTAACATTTCAGAAATGTTTCCTCAAAATCCCATCTCCACCCCTACTGTGAAGTCTTCTGGATGGCTCTCATCTGGACATGATCATTTCCTTCTCTAATCCCCTTTGGGACTCCTGGTGTAAACCTCTCCATTTGGGTCTCATGTAAACTTGTCATACCTTCCTGACAAGACTCTACTGAGGGCTCAGCCTCTATATGCACATGCATTTTATGCATTTTTCTCAGTGTGTCACATGATCACAAACAGATAATTAATGGTTAAACAAAATCAGAATATCAAAAAGCTATGGTATTGTTCTTTGTCTCTATGAGGCAGATTATCTGACCAGTGCTGACTATATAATTTCAGATTGACCGATTTATAGTCCACTCTTGGAAGAGGTGAAAACTGTAATTAGCTTTGGTTTTAAGTCTTGGTTTGGTGATGAGAGCTTACCACAATTTGTTCCATTTTGGGTATATTATCTCTTTTTTAAGAGAGTGTGTGAAATTACTTGAATTTTCTGTATGGAATTTCCTTTCATTTTGAAGAGCACCATTTTTTGAATTCAGACAACTCATTTAAGTTATATTCCTGTTTTTGTGAGCATTTGTTATCACTCTTTAAGAGAGCCATACATGTTCATAAGCATCATATTCAATTTTTTCACCTGCTTCATCAATAAATATGATAACAAAAGGTACCAAGTACTTTTTCATGAATCAACTATATATCACTAGTGCCTTTATTGGTCATTGCATTAAGAGCACTCTATATGAGTGCTAACCTTTATACCATTTGTGTATCCACCAAGAGATGTACTGTGGCTACAAAATTTTCCATCTGGGCGATGGATTCTGATTTAGACTGGGTTTTTAGACTTTTGAGCTGACCTGGAATTTGAGATTAATGAAGTAAACCATAGTTGATGAGAGGAAGTAAAGAGAAACCAAGTCTGATGAACCCCAGGCAGAACAGACTGGGACAATAGATGGTCCAAAATGAAGCTCAAAAGTCAAAGGCCAGTCTCAGAAGTCAGGCTAGTCTGATTAGAAGCCAAGGAGAATAAACACATTTTTAAAAGAATCCCCTGTCTAAATAATGTTCATTGTATCCATTTAAATAATGAGCTGAATAATGCATACCCAAGGATGTGGTCTCAAGGCTCATGTTTTCTTGATAAATTCTGTTTTTGTTTTCTAAGTGAAGATAGTTTCAATATTCTTTTATTTTATAACCCCATTCATTTTATTTTCACTCATGCATCAATATATGACCCAGAGATAAAATCTTTAAAGTCAAACTATTCAGGGGAAGGCAATCTTTTCCAAGAGAAGAACTTGCAAGATCATCATATATTCCATGTTTTCATTTCTGTTAAAATGAAATCAAATGATTGAAGCTAGAGAGTTTTTAAGAAACAAATAATTATTTGCTATAATATTAATCTTTTTGATTATCTTCAAAATCACCACACTGTCACTTGCCATTAATTATAAAATAATGAAATTATATGTATAAGGTAATACGATATTAATCACTGCGTAAAGAAGTCACCAACTCAAATTATTAGATTTGAGGACTATAGTTTGTGGAGTAGAGCTATCTGAATAATTAGTGAATTGTATCCAAATGGAAATGGTATAGGAAACTGAATACCACTCCCCTGAAAGTATGTATTCTGCTACAGAATGAAATCGCTATATTATATAGTACAGTTAATTAATTATTTTAATTAATTGTGCTATATATAGTACAATATATACTATCAAATGTTTTACATTTAAAAACTTGTTTTGGGGATTTTGTGGTTTTGATACAAAAATATACATGGAGTAAATAAACATTGGCCTAAAGTATCAAAGGCAAAATTAAATAAAGGAAAAAGAAAATTTCATATTTGCAACACAAGCTTTCCCAAAGGAAGGTTACAGCTAACCACAAGGCATACAAATTAAAGAATTTATTAGATGTTAGAACTCATCAAAACTGTAGTTTTAAGAAATAACACTCAAAGATATATAATTAATTTTTATAATGTTTTCATGCCAGATCATTAAGAAAAAGCTGTTGACCTTAACTAAATTATTTTTACACCTTATAAAGCTGCTTTTACTGACTTAGACTCTGGCTGGCATTGAATAAAGATATAAGAATAAACAGGTGAATGACATTTGTTAGTAGGTTCATTATGAAGATTTTTGGTTCCTCGGGATTACAGTATTCATTCTTAACTAGGTATAAATGTTGTTATATCTCATGTGAAATAATAATAACTTTATAACTGTATGGTTCCATTTATGCATTCTCTTCTTTGTACTATTGTTCTTAAATATTATACATCTACAAATATTAAAATCTGTCAGGCAGTGTGTGTGTATGTGTGTATGTTTAAACAACAGTTGTTTTAAAGAAATCAGAAGAAAAAATAATACTTTTTAAAATGTTTACCCCATTGTTGCAATTTTTGGTTCTCTTCAATTCCTGCTAGTAGACCTGGAGTTTCTTTTGATTTCATTCTTTTTCACCCTAAAGAAATTCCTTTCTCATCTCTTCAAGTTCAGGTTTGCTGGTTACAAACTTTTCCAGCTTTTGTTTACCTAAAATAATCTTTATTTCACTCTCAATTGTCAAAGATATTTACCAGTATACTGAATATAGAATTCTTGATTGACAGTTTCCTTCCTTGCTTGCTTTGTTCCTTCTTTCCTTCCTGCCTTCTTTCCTTTTTCCTTCCTTTTTAATTTTGTCATCATTCCTATAATTTTCCCCCTTTATGTATTGAATAACATGTATTTCTCTCATCGCTGTTCACCTTAATTTTCCCCCTTTGGTTTTTAGCAACTTAACCATAATGTGTGTAGATGTAGTTTTCTTTCTGGGTTGTTTTTTTTTTTTTCTGCTTAGGTTTTGAGGAATTATACACTCTGCAATTGATGTTTTTCACTAAATTCACAATATTTGGGTCAATTATTTCTTCAAATATTTTTTCTCCCCCCTTCTCTCACTTCTCTCCCTTTAGAATTCTGATTACACATGTTAGTCCACTTAATATTTTCACACAGGTCACAGACGCTCTGATTATTTTTCATT